TACGTTTAACACAGGGAATCCATCTTTAACCAACTCAGCCTTGATTTCCTCCACAGACGAGTCGTCAGGCAATCCACGAATAACCACTTTAAGCGGTGTATCTTTCTTTGGGCGAAAGGTGCTAAATTGCACTCCATCTTTCATTAGCACAGCTAGTGCTCTATCTCTTTGATCAGTTGTATTAAAAATCAGAGTGATTTTATCGTTAGTCAAAACACCAACGTAATCCTTGACACCAAATTTGTTAAATTGACCTCGCAATTCGCTCCATTTCACATCCGGTCTTGGGCAGAAAATCGGAGGAAGTCGTTCACTTTTATGATCAGTCTTAGCATTAGAAACAAACATAAGATCTTTATCAGCTTTTTCAGAATTATCAGCACAGTCCATAGCCACTGGATCAGGAATTGTAGCGAGAGAATCAAAACTATTCGACATTACTACTTTGGAAACCTATGTTGAATTGCGTCTCCGTCCTTCCTTTTATTCTACTGTTGAGCTGCGCGCGCCGACATCACGCGTTTTGTGTACGCTCACGTCGCCTCTGACGTTTCGTTCCTGATATTTGCATAACGTTTCTACTGACTTACGTGTTCATTGTACTGATCTCCAGACCTCCTTTTCTGCAATTTCATGGCTATCTGCTAAATTTTTACATTGTTAATTTTTGCACACCAGTTTATATCGAAAACACATTTTCTAAGCAATGTTGCTTAACTTCCAGTGCCTATTTATGATTTTACTGTTAAGTTACCATCATTACCATTTTGTTTAATGTCCGAAGCTTTATGACCAGAAGCTTCACATTTAAATGCCTTATCTTTATGAATACAATTTTTGGAAATATTATTTGTCTAACTACAATTAAAACAAATTTTATTCTTACGACATTCAAAACTATTACATTTCATATCAGATTTTCCATCACAATTTACTTTATTTTTATTGAGCCTTTCATTTTTTGAGTTAGCTGTATCTTTAAAATCATGTTTCATTTTCATTATATCGAAAGCACCTTTCCTTTTTTCAAAATCGTCGGTACTGTTCTATTATCGGGACCGGGCCCAGAAATGTATGATTGTAAGCGTGTGCGTATATATGTATGTGTTCATGTATACATGTATATATGTGCAAATATATATATATATATGTGTGTGTGTGTATACAAACACATATACGCACATGTGCATGCATACGTACTCTTCTGAATCCGGTCCTGTTAACAGATGAGTACCAAATCGTCTTTCATTACTTCGCGGTCTTTAAATTCAAATAAGTTTTTGCATCAATATAATATAATTTTATTATTTTATTTTCGTGCCTATCATTTATTCCTTTTATAGCATAATGCAATAAGGCAATAAGCATCATCTATTTCCCAAAATTACATATTTCTTTCATCTTTAAGAAATATTCTTGAGCTGATTTAGTATTCCTAATTTTCCTTTGACAAATGTAAATTAGCAGAATTTATTTCAAAAGACAATTTATCAATTAAGGCTTTTTGCAATTTTAGTCATGAATAAAATTCAAACAAATAAGGCAGCGTTCCCGCCAAGTGATCGTTTGATGAACTTAAATTTTTGTAAATCCAACAAATTAAATAATTTAGAAGAATTCTTAAAATATTCGACCCAACGATCAACATTTTCATTCGATTCTGCGTTAAATTTCGTAATCGTGCTTTCCATATTAGGATAATTAATGTTAGCACTCTATTTATAAAATTTCCATTGATTACATTTTCACTAGCATAATCACTCTGTCTAGAATAATAAAGGTAATTTTTCTTCTCAAAAATATCGCGCTGCATTGAAAAATCGTTTTCACTTCTTTCTGTTTCCAATTCATTAGAGGGGCTCTCCAGTGGACGAGCGGTAAAGTCGCTGAACCCTGGTAGTTCGGTCCGAGGTTCGAATCCCGCGAACGGGCAGGCTGCATGGGAGTTTTCGTGGTTTTCCCCATGTGTAACGTGTATGCGAGCCAGTTTCCCTTACAAAGTCCTCCACGAAGGCATCCCTCCCTTTAGGCAGCTAGACCTCGAGGCTTTGCCATAATCACACACGCACACCGATTCATTAGAGCGAGACGTGTCGGCGTCATTTACATTTCGAGCTAGTGTTTCAACATCACATAATAAAGATAAAATTCTTTTTATTAGCTCTGAATTACTGCCTTCGAATGAAATGCGTAGGATATTAGAAATTGTGACTAGCTCATCAAATGAAAAGCTTCTGTTTGTTTTAGTTTCTGTTGAAATTCGTCGCTATCTGAAGCAAAGTGAAAAGCAAAAATATTCCTAATTCACTTTCGATTTGACCTATCACCGTTAGAATCAAAAATAAATCTATATAAAGTTCTAAGTTATCTGCTTTACAGTTCTTCAATGCAACATAGACTATTTAGATAGATTTCACATAAAATCATTGTCGAATATGAAAACAAAAATCTACATACCTTCTAGGTTCGAAGTTATTCCTTGTTTAATCCAAATAGTTTATTTACCATGCCGGTCTATAATCCCACTTCTGAAGAAAAATGTAGTAGTGTCATGTAGGCGGTATAATTCTACAGAGATGCTTTAATCTCGAACAACGTGTTTAATTACATTAAAACACATACACATTACAATTAATTCATTTCAGGTGTTTAAAATAAAACAGTATTATTTCTGTCTTTAAATCCATCACCGTCGTTTGTTCAATACGTCTCCAGGCCAACTGCAAACGAACACAACAGAGCGAATTTCAAGACTTGCTGCTTTACGCCATTTGGCGTTCAGCGTTGGCACCACATACATATATTATGAAGCATGGAACATTTAAATAGCTTTTCAAATGAAGTTGAACTGATATGCAGATCTAATGCTGAGTTAAATAGTGATGTTACAGAATCACGAAATTTTATTATTGTGGTGTAATAAAATTTCATGATTCTGTAACATGAAATGTGCAAGTGTATTTTTTTCATAATTCAAACCTACTTGAAAAGAGTGCTGCATAAGATTTAATCTATTATTAATGATGCTCCGTATTTTGTAATTGGCCCGCCGTTATGAGTTGTTTTCAAATGAAATGGTTTGATGCCTTTCAAAAAACAACTGATATTGCCTTCCTTCTTTAATAACTACTAATTCTGTGCAAATTTATGAGTGAAATCATCTGAGATGAAAAAGTGCATTAAAAATTTTTCTTTGCTAAAGATACTGTATATATTATTATCATCTCGTAAAAACGTATTTTTACTCTTAAATAAAATAAGAAATCAAACTTAAAAAATTTCATTTTAAGAGTTGAAATATTTATTTCCTTTTTAAAGATAAAATTGTACAAGCATTCACAATATCATCATCCTGTTTTACAGGTCTAATATGTAAATAATGTTTTAGGCTTCAGTTCTTAAAAATTCTTCACAATACTTAAGTTCTTGAGAATTTGTAACATCATTTGCCAAAGTAGTTCAACATACATTTGAACCTGACCAAATTAAGAGAAATTTGAAATTTCGAAACAAAGATTGTGATTGTTGGTCCCAGGAGGATAATTTTATGAATAAATCTCTGTTGGTTCCTCAAATATTTTAAAATTTTTTCTAGTAACACAATTATCCTAAAAGCTTATGTAATAGTTCTGTTAGACTTACCTATTGCCTTCTTCACTGAACAAAAATTAATCAATAATTACGTTCCTTATTTTCTAAAAAAGTTTAAAATTTTATTCTCATAAATAGGATCCTCTCTCTTCCGCTCTTTTTTCAGGTTGATAGTCTTTTTTTAAAACCTGACTTGATCCATTAGGTGTTGCATACTTACTGTTTAAAGTTTGAGAACCAGTGATCCTGAACTGAGGAGAATGCCCTTTTATTTCGTAAAATACATTTAGTCTTTTTAACTGGCATCAAACAAAAAAGCTGCCAGTATTCAAACTGCCATACAATTTTTGCACCTGTTATAATAAAACTGTGTTTTTAGAGAAAAACATTTATAAGCAGTCTTATAAAAAATACATAGAACACATAAACTAGAGAAGATTATAAATTATAGATATTTACTCACAATTAATTAATAGAGCTATAATCTTAACTCACTGTTTTACAGTGAAGCTTGATTGTTTTACCATAGTCAAGTAGAAGTATCCCTTTTTCATTATTGCATTTCATTAGAAATTTTGCATTGTTCATTTTTTCATGATTATTTCATTAATACAATTTTTAGCTATCATGAATTAACATATATATGTTACCGTGAAAGACCGAAATTGGAGAATGTCGATTTTCACCGGAGAATGTCAACATTCACCAAATACGTCGGTGAAAGATCGAATATTTCTTTACATTCTTGTACATTCGGACCCTCATTGTATTGGACACTCGACAACACAGATATGCTCTGGTGTAGGTCGAAAAGAGAGGAGTATATGTACACGCTGCCATTCCAAAAGGAAGTGTTCCACAAATAAATGCAGTTGTTAAAACCAAGGGCCTCTTGTGCAATTCAAAGTGTCATAAAAGTTTAAGTTGTTGCAATAAATAGATTTGAATCGCATAATTTGGTAAGTTTATAACTTCTATTATTTTCCTTTCTCATTTTGAATGTACTGTGTGTTTTAAGTTGTTATTCTGAGTCTCAAGTGCGTTTTTTCGTCAATGAATTACGGAGAAGGAAATATAATATTCTTATATGTTAAACATTCACCATTAGTACATGGTGAATATCGACATTCACCGGTGTAAGTCAGAAATAAGAGTATTTGGAAAATATTTCGGACATACACCAAGCGACTATGCGAATGTTGACATTCACCGTGAAAGACGACACTCTCCAGATTTTGGTGTTTCACCGTGACATATACATAAAAATAATGTTAGAAAAGTAACAAATTTATAAATTTTGTCAATTTAATTACTCTTATATATATTGCAGATTATTTAATATTTTGTAAAGATAATTAAGTTTTTTATGAAACCTATACTTTGTCTTTATCAAAATCATAAATCATGCAATGCATTCTATTCATGTAAATATATCTGATGTCATACCTTTTTCCTGCCTATCTGGAAAATGTCATGAATATAATTGGTAAGTCATTAGATTCTAAGCTAAGAATATGAAGTTTTATATATGCTGAGATTCTTTATTAACTTTTTGTATGTATTTTTAAGTATAGAAATATCATTTGGTAAATTTTTTTTCTCGTTTCTTTTTCTTATTTTCTAATTAGAGAGACAGTTCGATTAGATAATTTTATTTCTCAATCTGTGTAAAGATGTCTCTGCAAAAGCAATAGTTTGTATACAGGTTTTAGACAGCTGGAACTAAGTTTATTTTTTTAAATCTGTCTGGATTTTCTTGTTGTTAAAACAATAAGGTGCTGAAATAAAGTATCTTTTATCATATTCCAGCATTTGAAATTCTTATTTCTTATGTTTTATTTCTTATTTTCTTATTTCTCATTTATTATTTCATTTTTCACTTTCTGTGGTACAATGTTTTTCTATTATATGCTTTCTGAGGTTTTATATTTTCCAACTTTCAAATATCTCTAAGGTATACAATAAAAAGATGTATACGAAATAACTTTATTATAAAACATTTACCCTAGCCAGAATCTCGAAACCAAAACATTCTTTGTTCATGCCAGATCCAAGCAACTCTATTGATCTTCTATAAGCAAATAACATCAATGATGTCAAATATTTTGAAAATTATCTTTTATAAACAAATACAATCAATTGCCCCCTTATTTGAATTAAAAGATTTCAGTCAGTTAAATCTATAATTTAAGAATTCATCCTTCAGTTTTGCAGCTGGTAGATACTTAGTTCAAATATATTTAGTTTAATGTTCGGAGAGCTGCCTGAATATCACGCTTCTCTTTTGAATTCCATCAATCTCTTCCATGATTTTTATCTTTTCACTGTTGTCAAGTTCACTCGTAATTCTGTGTTACAAGATTCAATTCGGTTCCTTCTGAAGTCACAACTACTTCCCCGCCAAGTCAAGTATCTTATCTTTTGATATTAAGAGTTAGTTCTAATGCGTATAGGTATTGTCCAGGTCTCATGATTAATGTACAATTTGGAAGTCTAAGAATAAGGCCTTAATTAGAGACTTAAGGGCCCTTGGGCAACCTGATGATAATAAGACCCTCCCTATATTATTTCTCCCAGTATACTGTTTTTTCTAGTTATAGGTGATCATTTTCTTAATAATTAAAATAACTTTATACAATTTGGTTTTTATTTATTTTTAATTTGATTATTTAATTGAATGAAAATTTCTTTTTTAGAATTCACTTTTAGTTTTTTGTTTATTTGTATAAAGTAATTATCATAAGTTAATTTTCTGTGCAAGTCAAATATATCATATCATATAACAGATCTTATTAATAGTCACAAATTATTATATAAGTAAGATTTATCTTTAAAAAATTAATCGATGTTCTTTACCCCAAATGGCATCAGTGTTCTTTTTCTTGAGTGTTTTGTATGCTGAATGTGTTAAAACTTTCTAAAGTTTTACATTTTCAAAATGTCAACTAGTTCTAAAAGAAATATATAATAAAAAAGATAAAAGTGTGAAAGTTTTCAGATTTTAAATAACGTCCGAAGCGGCGTTTTTTTAACATCTTGTCTGTTACCTTTATTTATTAAATATCATGTTCTTCGCTCTTAAACCATAAAATTCAGTTTAACAGCAATATCGCAAAATAGTTTTAAATTGAGCATATCTTTAGAATTTCCGATACAGAGTCTCGAGCGCTAGAGATAAAAATGTTTTTTCTGTACAATGTTGCCATTGCTCGCTTTGAAATCCTTGAGTTTGTTAATCAAAAATTTGTTAAAGTTTTACAAAATATAAAATAGATCATAAAGCAAATTTCAAATTTCAAATTTGGGCTTCCACATGCCCATATTCGCAGTAGGATTACGTCATTCAAAATTCGATGACTCTATGATGACTTATTCAAATATAATGCAAGACTCTTTGGTGGCAATAGTTTGAAAAGTGAAACGGACATTTATAGTGAACCAACGCAAAATCGCAATACGAAAACAATAGTCCTTCAGAGACAAAGCCCCTTTGGACTAATAATTTTATTGAAAAACATTTACTACAGCCAAAAAATCTCAAAATCTAAACCTGATGTCATATTCAAGAAATTCAATCTTTTATAAGTAAATATCATTAACGTTGCTAAATACTGAAAGCTAAATTATTATTTTATAAATAAATTAGTAAGCTCCCGTTTCTCTAACGAATTGAATAAAGCTTTAAGTGGCCATTTAGTGTACACTGCTCAAAAAAAAAAAAAAAAAAAAGGACAGTGCTATATCTCCGGTTCTACTGGGCCGATTGACAAAATTCAAACTGCGTTTTTCATGTCTCGAAAGCGCGACTTAGGATATATATTAGATTTATATATAGCACTATTCTAACATAGGTATTTTGACATAAAATCGGACTTTTTCTGAAATAACATACCAATTTTTTTCCATATTTCGATTCTACGATTCAAATTATGTCAGAATGCCAAGCTTTGTAAAAATCGTACGAGTAGTTTTTAAAATATTAGCTCTCAAAATTCTAGCTCCTCAATGTTAATTGAATTTGGCAAATATTTATTAATATCTCTTTTTTTATTAAACTTTTTTGATTTTTCCTTTCACATTTCGAAATTTAGGTTCATTCCAAATGAAATTTACCCATTTTTTGTGTTATTTTTTAATTTTCTATTTTTATATAATTTTTATAAATTTTTCGAAAAAGATTTTGAATTATAACCTTTAAAATTTTTACCATCATCTTAAAGTAGGTGTATTTCTAAGCAAACCTGCACAAAATTAGACTTTTTTATTCAACATTTTCTAAGATATACACGAATTTACATATTTTCGCGTTTTGAAACTTGGCAACTTTTTTTTGAGCGAAAACAAAGCCAAATCTGTTTTATGGATTTTTGTTACAGTGAATTGCCACAGCTATTTTTAACCTTAAATTTCAAATAAAATTATACGAAGAATTAATTATATGAATTTTTTCCTTCAATGATGCGTAATAAATATTTATTAATACTATATGAAAAGCTATTTTTTAAATTATAGATGATATTATTCAACTTTTTTGCTATTTTTAAAATTTCTTTTTTTTTTTTTTTTTTTTTTTTTTTTTTTTAATATTTGTAAGAGTAAATTTTATCTTCTGCGTTTTATCGTCTGCTACTTTACTTTAACTTCATTTAAATCGAATTGTTTAAATCTGAGAACTTTCGTTGAATGTTTATTTGAATTTTATGAAAATATTTTATGACATTAACTGCATAATTTATTTCTGAACAAGCTGTTGCTTATGAAGTGGCTGAAAGAGCGGCTGATACTATCCTCCATATTTTTAAAGCACAGTATATTTTTATAGAAACATAAGATTTAGACAAATCATTTTTATAAAATTAGACTTTTTAAGTCAAATTATGATATAAACATACAACCCTCTAGAGACCGAATTAATGGAAGTTCAATGGTTATGTAAAAATGATCTGCAGGTACTTAATGGCTGAATAAGTCAGCAGGTTCTGTGGACAAGTAAGAATAATTATATAAACGACACTCAACATTCTGAATTCAATTAACAACGAGGGTACGATGTTTATTAAATGAATTTAAGAAGTTTTTAAACATAAAAAATCCACTCATTTTTTACCCTAAAATGTACAGTGTCTCAAAAAAGTGATGGGACACTTGTGCTTTACAAAAGGAAACTGCAATAAAATAAATTTAAAAAACATGTAAAATTTTTTGTGGGTGTGTTTCATACTTAAATTTAGTAACAATTATTACATAACATACATTTTCTCAAAATATTAAAATATTAATTTAATAAAAATACAATTGTTTAGAACGGAGCAGAAAATGGCTCACTTAAGTGATGGGTCACTACATACTATGCAACAAAAATCGTCAGAAGTAAGCAATAAAAATATCTTTTGGGGTATTTATTTTTACTCAAAAGCAATTGGCAATAATTTATAAAATCGTCTGCAGTATTTCTCGCCAGTTTGTTTTGGAATTTTTGTGTTTTTTAGCTCTGTGCAGCCATGAATACTAAACGAAATGAAACTTTGCCTGGAATTCGAAAATTAGTTATTAATTTGCATATTGAACGTGGAAAATCTATTAGAGAAACTACTGAAACAGTTAACTTCAGTCATTCAACAGTTTTCAGTATCATTAAACGATATAAAAAGAATCATATGATTCAGGATAAAAGAAGACCTGGCCGACCATCAAAGCTATCCAATGGAATAAAGCGAATTATCGTTCGAAATATTTAAAAAAATCCAAGAATGAGTGCTCCTAAAGTTGCTGCCTGATTTACAAGCATTATATGGAGTAAATTGTTAATTCTGAGACTATTAGAAGAGTAATTCGATCTACTGGATATCACGGTTAGAGCAGCCAGGAAAAAATTCTTCGTAAGTGAAAAGAAAAGAAAAACTCAGATTGGCTTTCGCAAAATCCAAACATAAATAAGAATTCTGATTACTGGAATGAAGTTATATTGCTGATTTGATGAGTAGAGTAAATTTAATATATTTGGTTCTGACGGTAGAATCTTGGTGTGGAGAAAACCCAGGGAAGAATTTCGCAAACAGAACTTGGTGCCAACAGTTAAAACATGGTGGAGGAGGAGTTATGGTATGGGGTGTATGTCGTCCGCTGGAGTTGGTAATCTTGTTTTTATTGACAGTATAATGGATCAGTACAAGTATATTGACATTTTAAATCAAAATTTGAAATCTTCAGCACGAAAATTGAACCTTCATAACGATTTTAAATTCTACCAGGACAATGACCCCAAGCACAGGTGCTTTGAACGTTAGACTCTGGCTGCTGTATAACTGTCCTGAAATAATAAAAACCACCCCCCACAATCTCCACAATTAAATCCCATAGAGAATATTTGGCAAGAATTGGAATCAAGAATTCGCAAACACACCATTCTTGAAAACAAAAATTAAAATCGGTGCTTCAAGAAGAATGGGGTAAAATCACTCCAGAAATCAAAAAAGTTCGTCCATC